TTTGACTTCATATAAAAAATTCTGATTACATAAACTTCCGAATTAATCATATAAAAAATAAGAGAAAGCATTACGAATCTCTCGAATAGGATTTTTTTTTTTAAACACGTAACGCGAGCACGATTCTATTTTAAGTCGCCGCCACGAGTGCAGGATGTATCTCCGCACAATAAATATGGCACGAATGTATGTAACATTAATACCAGACCAGACACCGTTTATCCAGACGCTTCGTTTAGTCGCCAGTAAAAGTGGCGGCGCGGCGTATCGGCCGTGGATTCGTAGAAGCCGCGCGGCGCATTTGCGCGCATTTATACGTGCGTGCAACTCTTAGAGAGCGGCATTAAGTAATTATCATAAGCGTCGGCTTAAGTACGGTACAGACAGGCTGTCCATCACGCGAGTCCACGTCCTCGCTCTCGGCGATCATACATAGTAACGACTCACTCGTCCGTGACTTACAGGCGGGAACGATTATTTCTGCTTACGCGCGCTCGCGCGCGGAGGTGCGAGGAAAACGCACGACGCAAGGTAGGCATCAGCAACAACACGATCATGCGAATCATCCGCGACAAGATTAGGGTTGGACTCTTAGGCGAACGGCGATTTCTTCTTTTTTTTCTTTCCTTTTTACAGCGACGAGTTTCTCGGTGGGTGCACTGAGCGTACGCTTCTCACTCCACGTTTCGCACGAAGAGAATGAGTGAATTGCCAACAAATATTTGTTATTAGAGATAACGGGGCGGCATATTATACGTGCAGATTATATTTTAAATAAACATGAAACTCTTAAATTACGCCTCAACAATCATTCAATGACGATAGGAAAAAAACGGTGATACGCAGTCGTGAACTTCGAGCTTCGGGCGAATCATGCAATCGTGTCTTCCTCGACGGTGTGCAGCTGAACATTCCGCGCGTAATTACCTCGGATTTTGCTGGCTAACGATAAACTGCCTCGCCTTCCCTCCTCGGCAAATAATGGCGCTCCTTTCCTCGTTACCGCGGAAACTTAGAGAAACGGATTAGCATCGTCTGTCTTTAAATCAACACGAAAGCCGTCCTTAAAGCGAATAAGAAAATTTCCTCCTCTCGCAATCAATATAAGCTAGTTACATAATGCAGCCGCGTTTTTCGATCTCGATTTTCTCGTCTTTGAATAACGCTAACACACTGTGATTACGCGTGTCTACTTGACATCGTGGTGAAATATCTAAATCGAAATTCTCAATACAGAAATACGTACACTTAGAGAAAAATATCGTAATAGGAACTATGAAAGTGAAAACTATGCGTATACACGAGTTTTATATGTAGAATTCATGAATTGAATAAAATATTTTATAATTTCAACAACTATAAAATAAACTAAATACGATGTACATTAATTCTACATATAAAATTCATATATAATTGTTGTCACTTTATTTATATTTTTTTCCTACGAATATGTCTTTCTCTGAGTGTAATCGCACATATTCCACACATCTTCTCAATTTTAAATTCAAACAGCTCTGAGGCTGAATTAAATATCGATCCGTGTCTCAATTTCTTTCAAACATGAAAGTTTTGATGAAAAAAAAGTAAATGTCTATGAAAGTTGATATATTTACGACATAATTTGTGTGTGACTCGGATTTCGTATATAATTAATGATAAAATTCTTGCGAATATTCAGCCTTTTCTTTTCTGTCAACAACTCGTCAAACGTACAGTTTCGACAAGAAATTAATTAAAATTATTCAGCCAAATTGGTTTACATCAGCGCGCGCAGTTCATTTCGGTTTCATCAATCTCACTTTTGACCTCATTACTTGTCTCACAATCAGTAAGATGGATATATCGATTCCGCCTCTTAAACTACTATCAAATTACACGTTATTCGGTAAAAGGGCAGACGTACATATTGCCGATGATTTTCACCGCATCTATCATTACGAGAGAGAATGTATTTACTGCGCGCACTTGCTTCCTCGCTGTTATTCTTATCGTCAATAGGTGCGAAAACGATACGGCCGACACAGGTCATTTTCTTTCCCTTCGAGGTTATCGCATTGAGATAAATACATTTGTTAACGTAGAATGTTTGATCTCATTTAACACCTTAGTGTGTCAACATTTACGCAGCAACAATGGCGACAATCATTTTCACGAAGGATGTATAAAGCCAATACGTTACTTTATATATCATTTGACAATTTATATTTAATCAATTTTATTTTTTATTTTAAATTATTATAACATTTTTAATTTGTATTCAAGAATATTATTGAATTGCGCGTGACTTCCTACTGAAACATTTTATTAAAAAAAAAAATATCTCGTCCTTAAATGTTTTCTGTATAACAATATTTGTGTTTGATAATAGAAATCAAAAACCTTTAACTTCCTATAAGAAAAACTGTTTGTACTTTTGTTTAAAAGTTCGACGATCAAATCGGATTATCCGGCGTAAACATATTACAATTGAACGAAGATATAGTCTCTCATGCAGCAAAAGTCCTATGGGAAATGAAAAAATCTCCGACATGGACGACATTACGTTAGAATCCTCCAGAAATGAAGGTGGAGGAAAAAAGCCCCGCTAGTAGTTCCATAGCTACGCTGTCCCGCATTCCGCGATGAGTTCCCACACGTACGAGCGCGTGCACACCTCCGCCTTTCGATTCACGCATTCCCAACGAAAGAGAGGTGACCGACGACACACGGCGGACAAGAAAAGGAGAAAACTACTTTGGACGCGTAGTGAGGGAAGAGCTGAATGAAAAAAGGAGAAGAAAAAAAGGTAGAGGGACCGGGTGAGCGCGCTCTTGAGGATGGAAGGGAGACAAAACGGAAGAGTAGACAAGAGTGGGGAACTCTGGTAGAGATATTCCTTGCGCAAGGAATATAAGGATCCGTAGTGGGAGCCTCGTCGGGCGTAGCCTTAACAAAGCCCGCCTACCATCTCTCTTTGAGAACCACGTGCTCTCCACGGCCAGGCGATCCAGGCATAAGAGATGCCAGAAACTGCTAGGCTTCGCGCTATGAGGGAACGAGAACGCGTGGTGATGAAATAGATGCAACCCTTGCGTTCGCTAACAGTCAGCGATTGCAATAACCCCGTCAGGAAAAGGTATCATTATCAAAGATGCCTTCAGGAGCGTCAGAACTAGGAATAAACTCGTTTCAAATATCGACAATCGAGAAGGTTAAATTTATGAGAGAGAGAGAGAGAGAGAGAAACAATTTATAATAATCTATATCTTATAAAAAAATTATAAAATAACAAGTTATAAAGTAATTTATATCTTGTAATAAAGTTATAAAATTAAGCGAACTTATTAATATATAGTTTACAGTTCTAAATCTGGTGAAACAATTTTTTGCATTTAATATTGCATAATCCACATAACTTTATCTTAAATTTTATATTTATAAATCGATTTAAATAGTTACTTTTATCTCTCCCTCGCAAGCATCGCGAGGAATCTCTTCTTCTTCTTCAACAATGGAAGTTGATTCAACTTCAGAACATACCTTTCATCTGAAAAGGTAGATGAAAGTATGTGAAAGGGAACGGAAAAGAGGAGCGGAAATGGGAAAAATAATCATTAGCGAATACTACGCGAGATAAGAAAATGATGTCGCTGACGAGGAGCGGAGCAAGAAGCAGAAGACGAGGAGCGCAGCGGGATGGAAGAAATCGGAGAGATCGCTTACACTGGTGGAGAAAGAGAACGGAGGGAGACAAGAGGCGGGAATCAGGCTGAGAGAGGCGGGGCGAGATTTAATCGGTCTTGGGGGGGTCCAGTGGTCTCCACCGCATCAGGGGGGAAGGGAGAACGTTCCGTTCTCTCTCTGAAGAGAGATCGGCTCTTCCGCGGAGGAGCGCGTGCAGTCGCTAGCTGAGGCCTATACTTGCCCGTCGAAGGGTATTGGTTCTCCGACTCGTTGCACCATACCCCCCAAGCAGCGCGAGACCAACGTCAAACTAACAGACAAACAGAGAAAGAGAAAGAGAGAGACAGAGAGAGAGAGAGAGAGAGAGAGAGGGAGAGAAAGAAAAAATAAGAAAGACAGGGGGAGAAAGAGAGAAGGAAGACATAGAGAAAGAGAAGGTGCGAAAGAGAAAAGGGCAAATAGAACATCTCTCCCCTTCATCGCCTTACATCGTCGTATCCCAACACGAGCACGCGTGCACGCACGCCCGCGGCAGGCACGCATGCACGCGCGCACGTCACCGCCACCGCCACCGCCACCGCCGCCGTCACTGCCGCACGTTGGAGGACCTCCCCATCGAAGAAGCAAAGAGAGTTGGTGGCACGGACGGTCGACGGATGAACGAAACGGAAGGAGCGGAGCACGGCACGCGTATACGTCACCCCTGAGAGATTAGGCGAGAGGCTCAAAAGACGCCGACTCCGGTGGCGTTTCCGAATCTTGGGTGCTTTACCAGATCCTAAGCAAACGGTTGGCGGTCCGGCATCAGCAGCATCCGCAGAGGGTTGCCAGGTATAAGACCTTTTCGAGCCATTTTGTGAGCCCGGTCGTCGTCCGTCTCTTTCTCCCACCACTAATCGCTCGGTCGCACGCTCTCGAAGGGTGACACCCACCCTTCGGGAAGGGCCTTTCGGGAGGGGTGAATTTTCGTGGTGCGGCTCACATCGCCCTGCAGTCACAGTCAGCAACAGGATCGTCAACGACCAAACGTCACGGTGTTTGCCGGATATAAACGGACGGATTTTGGCAAGTCTCAAGTAAGGAAGCCTAACGCAAAACGGCAGATATAGGAACAGATAGCTTTCCTGCAGGACAGTGCACGGAAGTAATCGCAGGGTGATAGACGGTTACGTTTCTTCGCTCGAGATAACGTCGGTGAGCTCCGACACGGTTCGCCGAACGTCGAACGATTTCACGAGGGTGATGCGGTGAGATCAGTGAGACCGTTATTGAAACACCCCGGAAGGATCGCGTTTAAATCCCCAGGACGATCTTATCGAGCGATTAGCGTCGGGGTCATGCACACGACCCCGTGAGTGCGATTCGAGAAGAATCTGAGTTCGCGCGTCGATCAAGTATACCAAGAACGCGAGTATCGCTAGAAGATGTTCGTTCAGTGATATATATATATAGTTGGTGTATGGTGTTAGCCCTCGATCAAAGATAAGAAACGACAAGAGCGGATTTGAGCACGCGGGACATTCTGCGATTACGAGAGAGACACGCGAGACACACGCCGGAAGATGAGGCTCTGGATGTTGCTGGTCGTGCTCTCGGTGACGGTGCACGCGTCGCTGGAGGAAATCACCAGGAACAAGAATCGCGGCAGGGGATCCACGTGGTGGTGAGTATCAGGGAGCGAGAGAGCGCGGAGTTTTATTTTAATACACCTTCGCGGTGTATATAGTCGAATTCCCGTCGTCCTCTCGTCCCCTGTCCTTTCTCTCCACGAACGCACGCTTGTAAATACACCGCGTCGTAAAATATTTTATCGCCGGCATTAGCGCGCGGAGTTTTTTTGAAATAAATTATGGTTGCACTGAACGGTTAATAGACCTGTTGACAAAGTCATTGAATGGACTTAAATAACCGGAGTGACAATGAGGAAAAGGACGATGTCTGTTAGAATTGCATATATCTTTTTTTACGTTCTAGAAATTTTCTTAATTCTCTATTATTTATTTGTTGCATGAAATAGAGAACGCTGTGTTTGACATGTATTGAAATAATCATCTTCGTCAAGGGAACGAAAATCTATAAAATATTCAATTTCTCACTAACCCATTTTTGTATTACATTATCCATTTATATAATTATTCTTTCTTTTATAGCTAATGACAATACCTGATGGTTACGGACAATTTACTTGCATGCAAATTATCCATATGTATAAGGATAAACTTGACCTGGTAATTTTAATAAATAATAAGAAAAAAATTTTCTTATGGCTCAATTACTGGATCTTGAAGACTTTTCCGCTCATAAACTCTGACGTCACAGCTAACGATTCAAGCGTTAATTGAGATCATTATTGCAATCGCTGAATCATCGGAAATAAAAATCGCGTTGGAGGAATCAATTCCACGTGGAGCTGCCCTTGATCTTCGACCAGTTTGCATCAGCATGGAAATCGAAAGCTCTATCGCTTTTTCGCTTGTTTTCGCTCTTTATCAACTGCTTTCATTAATTGATTTCTCGTAAAAAAAAAAAAAAAAAAAAAATGAAGAAGAATTTAACAGATACTAAATTCTTTTAAAAGAAGAATTTACTTGTCAATTTAAGTAAAAAGGAAAAGTAAAGATATACGATACCTGTTTTCTTTTTTACTTTGAAGAATTCTGAAATAAAAGTGACAACCTTAAAAAGATGTCAAAGAGAGAAAATTTTATGTAAAAAATATATATGTATATTATAAAAATGATCTCTCAATCCATCCAAGCCTTTTATATATTCATAACTTTACACCTTTCTAAAAGTAATCAAAGTTGTATACATTTTGACATATAAAATTCTTGTTTTCTACTTTACATCTCTACTTTCTTCTGCACACATCTAACACATTTCCCATGAGAGACTGGCTAAACGGCAGCGTGTACAGAAACGGAGAGATGTCTCGTAGGGCCAATGCCGCCTCTCGCACTTCTTTCTTCACCGCCGCATCCGACGTAGTTTCTTCTAATTAAAATGTAATTCTCTCCTCGCACGAATCGAATTGACCTTCGTGCGTTAATTACTACGGCGTGCGCTCGTGCGCGCACGCATTAACACCTGTCTGCCCCGGCATTTATCGCGCTAATCGCGGGAGCAACGTTGTTTACGCGCGTGACCACCATGTCGTTATTAATTCATTAATCATAATTCTAACTCCACGTTTCGATTCGCGATTTCTTGCACACGATATGTGTTAGATAATGACTAACTTCATTAGGCCGATCATAAATAACGCGCGCGATCGAGAGCTCGTGTTCGCATGCTATCTTGCGAGATAACTACGGCGAATATCCACCTATAACATAAATCGACGACGATATATCAGCCACGGACTCATACATTTCCGCGTAAACCTCGCACGATGGTTTGGCCATTTATTCGTTATTGCCGCGAAATTAAATACATCGACACGATCCGACGGACAGCGCGTTGCTCGCGACAACCGAGTCAATTCAAACTGTGACGTATTGTTCATCATTTGTTCTCAATTTTACCATAATTGTGTGTCGCGTGAAAAACCTAGCGTTTCGATTAATTAATATCCTTCTGTGATTAATTTCAATTGAAGATTTTTAAGTGAAATAAGTCATTCGGTCATTACTGAAGATACACGCTGTGTTGAAGTAGTATAAGAAAGCAAAATATATCATCTTATAGTTCTTTAACAAGCAGAACTTGAAAACTGTCCACAACTATTTACTTTAAAAAATGTGTGGCGATAAATCAATAGTCCTATTCTTCTACGATACATTGTAGTTGACAGCAATGAGAGACTAATAACGAATTTGATTAAATGCATATTAAAATCGTTATACAGTAATTTACTCTGAATGTAAAAATAAAATGCAAATATTTTTTTTATAAAATACATATTTTACAAAACAGCACAATAAGGTACATTAGAGATTATGCTGTTTAACCCGTTCCTATATATTTATATTAAACACATGTCCGACGGCACCGTACATTCACCAAATTCGTTATAACATAGCAGGATTAATTTTAAAGAAATGGTTAAATAATGGCAGACTAATGGAAGACAGATAAATTATATTCGTTCCTATCATTGCAAATTAACTTTAATCCTGATTTAATAATGTACTTTTTATCTTTCTCTGGTTTTAAGAATTAGGAAAGAATGAAGATTAAATTAAATCAAGATTTAATTCAAGATTAAACTAAGATTTAAGAAATAGACATTAGTCATGTGAAAGGGAAAACGTCGAGGAAGTCACGAATCTATCATCCGTATCGATTCGAGATACGTAGAGAGATCAATTGATTAACATAGGTACAACCATGACGATCGGTAGATTGGCTAAGAGTCGATGCACGTGATTCGGCGTACGTTTATCGTGCATTGTGGGTGGTCGTATCTGGTGTTAATAGTGACGATTAATTGTGAACGTGGGCAATAATTACACCTTGTGGCGACATAAAGTGCGAGCGCGCATGGAGACTTTCCATATTTTTAAAACTCATGCGAGCGCGACAGATTATTACTTTTGCCGTCGTTAATTAAGTCTCACGCCAGTTCTTCCATCTCCGCAAAGGCGCGCTCAAACTTCGTTATTATAAACGGTAGGTATCCACGGTATTTTTATTGTATGCTGTCGCATATCATCAGACGGAGAGTCGTTTCACCGCCGTGAGAGCAGATTGTATAAACGCAGTTATTGGCAACACAAGTTTTCCGTGAACATCAAAATTAAGGTGTATAAATTTCTCTTTTTCAATGTCAACAGATCCTAAAGATTCTTCATCATAATATGAGACACGTCGTATGAAATTTGCTTTATGTAAGCAAAATAGTTCCTCTATAAACTATATGTATATTTTGGCACGAATAAACCTAATTTATTGTATATTTATATATAGAAAATAAAAATTTGTAATTTTTACAAACAACTTCTATGTATTCGCATGTTTTTAAATATCACTATATTGTGTATTTGCGTGTAAAAAATAGAAATTTGTAATTTTTACATATATTAAAATGTAAATTGTCTTAAACGATCGTCCATATCGTTAACAAGAGCGGAATTGTGATAGGAGCTCCACATCTTCATTAAACAAGGTGTTATAGCCAATGTTCTACAAATGAGATGCTAAACGGGATGCTCAAAGCTTCGCTATTAATCATTGACGTTTCATCTTTCAAATAAACATCTTACCGCGCAATCACGATTCTCTCTAATGATCGTTACGATATTATATCTGTCGCTTTCATCGCGAACCGGTAATCTCAAGTGTGGTCGATTTATCGATGCGGTCCGCAGGGACGAGAATCAGAAGCGAGGGATACGCGACCGTGACAGCGTGGTCTCCTACGATGAGAAAGACGAGAAGTCGGTCGACCGAATGAAAAAGACGTCGAGCTCCGCGATCGGAAACGCGACGTCTCTGTCGTGATTCATGATATCTCGACCTGATTCACGGCGCTGTCGTTCTGGATATGGACGAGCTTACGTTAGAAATGACATATGTCGGGATCTGGAAAGGAACGTTGAGACACGCAGGGAAAGGCGTTGTCACTTAGAGCTGCAAGACATTGGATCAAACAAAAACATCACGGGTATAAAGAACATTTGCTTCTCAACATCAAGTATATTAATAAAACAGTTTACAATTAGCTATCATTTACTATACACACGTTTACACTTTAATTAAGTACGTCAGAATGTCATATATAAATTTTGCCCGTTTTTATCTCTTGGATCTTATTGCGTGAGTTTATAAATTTAATTCTGTGAATACGCAACTGCGTTTGTTCGTCTGAGAGCTGTTAGCAACACGCACGAAGGATAAGACTGAAATAGCGTCATCATGTTGTGAGTGTGAAACTCTTTTAAGATAAACAATGGAACCCCATAAATTACACTACAATTGATAGAAAATAAACAGCAGACTGTCTCTCATTTGATGCCGATTATTTGACTGGGTGATCCTCGACAGTGTGAATATAACGGCAAAAAGACTAAGATTTTCAGTGCTCAAATTAAAATATGTGAATATACGTAACTATTCTAATAAATTAGTTAACCCTTCATTACTCGTGTGGAATGTTCAAGACATTCCTATTTTACATTATAAATTCGCTACATATACGTGAATACTATTTACATTAGCACAAATTGTTTCACAGTTAAAAAGAATTGCATTTTATTTCAAGGATGCATAAAATATTATCAATCTTTATTCAGTCTTAATTATTAAAAAGAACAATGAGATATAATGTGTAAGACAGAAATACCCTACATAATTACGTTTAAAAAAAAAACCACACGAGTAATGTCAACGCTAACCGCAGTTTAATTGATTTTTCTTTACAAAGAATTCTGATATTAGATCTTTACGAAGAATCTTCTGATATAGATCTCGTATTGTTTTAAAGAAAAACGCGATGGGATCATTAAAACGCACTGGGGGAGGGGGATCGTTATTGCCCTTCGCGCCCTTCTCTTTTCTCGTCCCCGTCCCTCTCCCGTCTCCGGGGCGATAAATTATTTTCGTCTCGGCCATCGTCTGGCGGTAGAAAGTATACGAAGGTGGAGGAGATGGAGGAGTCGTCCCTGAAGCTTTTCAAGCCCGACGTAAATTACAAGCAATAGATATATCCTAACCGGTCCGCGCGCGGCGCGGCTTATTTATGGACATCGCTTATTGAATGCATCGTATGCGAGCGCATCGTGCGCACCGCCGCCGATGTTGCGTGGAGTGCATTACGTCGCATCGGCCGTGCGAGCTCGCGGATCGCGCGTGACGAATCGAAGGACCCGCCATGTGGTGGTTCCGCGTGCATTCCGGACGGGTCGTCGAAAGCACGTCGCACCGTTAAATTCGATGTTTATTATCCTCTCCTTTTATTCGCGCAATACGCGCGATAATAATCTTGTTTAATCGAGGCACCGTCTCGCGTTTTAACGCGTCACGTTTTTACGCTTCCTGCATCGGGATTTTGTAAACTTTATAACAAGACAGTATCTCGGTGAATATACTATTGTTGCGTTTCTCTTTCACCGTGTATAATAATCTACGTAATACAACGATCTCGACATTGTCGTTGAAACTTATACAGAATTCCAGAGCTGAAATGAAAAGCGTTCTCGTACGTTACCGTGTGCTCTTGTTTTTACATCTCTTGCCCTAAAGTGAATACGAGAAAGTGATCTTCCGGGACGTTACGTCGTTCTCCATCTTCCTTTTCTGAGCCACGTGTTTGATACCGTCGCATTCCAGCTCGTTTATAAACCAAGTGACATATCCATTTTCAGTTCACTGAACTCACCAAGCATTATTTCACGTTTTCTTTACTATCTCGCGTTACACTTGCATCGCTCTGAATTTCATATATATATATATATATCTCTGTAAATCAAAATGCACCATTTCCCTATTCAGTGTCAAGGAACAATCCATCGTCTTCTTTTATCGAACCACGTGCTTGCCACCTCGCACTCCGACGCGAGTTTGTTTAACCCGCTCGGAAGTGTCAACGAGAGATCTCGGTGATGGGTGGTTGACAGTCATTTCGCGGTAGGCGCCACGCAGCCCGGTTTGTGTCAGGGCCTTAATTTCCGCCCAGACCACGAAGCGTCGACGGAGTCGCGGCGACAGTGATTACCTGTTTATTATGCCGGACGACGACTGATCCGATCCTAGAACACACGAGCTATTTTAAATAAGAGTCGCATGAGCGTTCCTAGCCCGCTTTCCCATCAAAGAACAACAAATACCGCGACACATTTGGTGCTTTTCCACGCGGTCAAATCGGACATTTACGATCCTGTTTGGAGTTCTTTCCACAAGGAGTACTTACGATACTTGTTATATTAACATTTTATTGCGATTGTATGGTTTACAATATCGTGTTCGTATACTGTTTTGTTTTAAATTCGCTAATCTAGCTTTCACTTGAGAATTATGTAGGATCACAAATATCTATTACATGTATTAAGAAGATTGTATAACTGATCGTAATAGAAACACATTGTTTATATAAATATATTTTTTGTGATATACACGCTAAGTGAATATATGGATCTTTGAGATCTATCAACATTTCTTTGTTATTGGATTTATTTTCTTTAGGAATTTTTTAAATTCATTTCTATATATTCTTAATTTATATTATAGTATAAAACTGTACAAAAAACACAAACAAAATATTATTATAATACAAAATTGAACCGATATAAGAACGAATCTAATTGTACAATATCAATAATAGAATTTATTACTTCTAAATCTTATTAGATATAAATCATTGAAATTTTCTCCAAAAAACTATTTATAAAATTATTCTTAAGATCACTACGTTCGAGTTCAAGTTAATATAATCATACTTTTGATAAATATATGAACACAATTTTATATAAAACGGATATTAAGCAACGCGAATGTATCCGTGTCTAGTTAAAATCTTCTTTAATTGTGAATTGCGATCAACTTTCTGATTATTTCGTGTTCGAGCGAGTTACAACGTTTCTTACCGCACCTGATCGGTATGCATTTTGCGCGGTCCAGCATTTCTTCGGGGGTCCTCGCATCCCTCTTCCCACGAAGGGCACACCGTGAACGCATTTAAACGTTTTTCTGCGCGACGTTCGATCGATCGAGATGCGAATTCTTTCACAGGCTGGACTCGCGCGGCAGCTTGATTTATATATATACAGGGTGTATCAGAAGATGAGCACTTTCTCCGAACTAGGCTGTACAAATATAACAGTCAGCTTTTGTTGAATAAAAAACAGATGTTATCAATATATATCTTCAAAATAATTTTCAACCTATTATTAATAATTTTTCAATTGTAATTAATGTTAGGCAATTTTAATGCTTTACGTACATAAAAGATTACATTTTATTTCAAAGTTTTATTTAAAAAGAATTCTAATTTTAAATTATTAGAAAATTACGGAAATATTTTAGAAGATAGGCATGAACTCTTTAGTAGTTAACATTTTATTATACATTTTCGTTACTAAAAAATCAACTTTAAATTTGGTAAAAAGAGGAGTTTAGAGTAAATCCATGAACACAGATACACCCTATACACACAACGAGCTACCGTTGATCGAAACTGCTGAACCAGTTTCGTCTTTCGTGCTAATCCACCTTCGTCGTTCCCCGTTCTTTCTCGCACTGCCCGTTCTCTCTAGAAAGCGCACTTTTTTGCGCTCGAAATTGGCGTTTCGCGGTGACGACTACTGTTTAACTCGCACGCTTAAGCACCTCCATAAGTTATACATCTATTCAAACGTTCCGCAAACAGTTTCCGGAATGGATCAAACGTAATCTTTTAGAATTGCTTTTTAAAATTTTAATAAAGGACAATTTGAGCTTTTTTTATTCCATTATAAAGCTATAAATCAAGAACACTCAAAAACCTTGTCTCTAAACAATCACACCAAGTGCAACATAGATATTATTACTTTAAAGTTGTAATTCTCTAAGCAAATAAAAAATGTCCATTCAACAAGTTGAAATTTTTTTAATTTTCCCATATCAACAATTCTAAGCAAATAAATGCAAGATTTAAAAAAGTTTGTTTAAAATTACAAATTAACAATCATTGAAGAAGATATATAATAAGACATATATATACTATATGTGAGTATGAGATATTTATAAATAAGCGTTGAATAAAAAATGCAAAGGACTCTTATTATTCAGACAAAAATAAATTTAGTAAAGAGCACATAAGAGTCATAAATATCTTAAGTGAGAAAGAAGAACAAAATTGTATTAAAAATTTTAAGCATTACATTTCATTTCTGTAAGTTACATTATTAAACTCGACGTGTAATTAGTGTAACATAACATATATTTCGATTTTTGTATTAGACCCTCTTCAGATGTTCGAAATTAGTATGAAAAAGTATCAAACATCTGAAAAGGGTCTAATACAAAGACCGAAACATATGTTATGTTACACTAATTACATGTCGAATTTAATAATGTAACTTTCAGAAATGAAATGTAATGCTTAATTTTTAATACAACAATTTTGTTCTGCTTTCTCACTTAAGATATTTGTGACTCTCACGTGCTCTTTACTAAATTTATTTAAGCGTTGAATGTTGATTAAAACTCTATTTAGTACAAATTGGAAGTTGTTTCTCTAGCAGATCGATCGCACCTGTCGCGTTTGTGGATCGGATAGGACAAATGCAATCGCGGCGGATGACGGTGCGCATTATCATTCGCGGAATTGCCGCGTAATTAAAATTTATTCGCGCGATATGGCCTGATACCTTGTGCGTTACATTACGACAGCCATGTAATACGCGACAAGCACGATAACGACGCGCGCGGCGCTCGCCAGAACGGACACACAGAGGCTCATTAAGGGAATTTACCGGCGATCGCATTGCATTAAGCTCTTCGTCGGGGCCGGGACTAGCTTAAGCGCGGCCAAACGCAGCTGCATATAAATTGATAATTTCACGAAAGCGCGCATACTCTGTGCACTTTAACGTTTGTTATCGAGGATATATGATCGGGATTACACTCCCCCGGACGAAGGGAACACCGCGTACCGCTGGATCACGGGAGTAATTTTACTCAAAGCTCTTCATTAACACGATCCCTGTTTGAAAACACGTCCTTAACGCTCCACGTCTACCTGATGCCGTCGAAGCTACCTTCCTTCGATGTTAGCCAAGTCGCTTCCTACCGCTTCCTTTAAACGAAACTCCGAGCAGTTGTTCGAGGTGAGTGAAGACTTGAATAGTTGCACTCAAAATCACTTTCAACGAATCCTTTTTGACAAATTATAAAGAATGGTTCTCTCAACAAATCTTTCTATTTCTATTATATGTGTATTGCTTTCTCCTTTTTTTCACTCTCTATATGTATTTCCATGTTTCTGTAAAATCCATTTTCCTTTTAGTTGTATTATTCCATTTTTGTTATAAACGCCTGTATGAGTTTTATTTTATTTAAAAATGTGAAGAGACAGAGAATATAAAAATAATACGTCGTTTTTTAAATTTGTTTAGGGGTATTGCAAAAGCAGGCGAACCCAACAATTTTTTACCGATGTCAGCAGGTTCCATACACATGGAACCGGTCTACACCACCCTAAGAAGAAAACAGAGGAGGCTCGCTAGAGAAAATCCAGGAGTACTGATGGCAGTGTCAAGGGGTGCGAACCAAGCTATCGCTGAATGTCAACATCAGTTTCGCAACCGGCGATGGAATTGCTCGACGAAAAATTTTCTAAGAGGAAAAAATCTCTTCGGCAAAATCGTCGACAGAGGTAAGAAAATTGATGAAACAAATATATTCGATAATATATGCTCGTCTACTCGATTATTTAATGCGAATGTATGCAAGAACTAATAGTTAACTCCGCTGATTATTTTCGCAAAAAGCAACGTGTTTAACTCTGAGAATTTGACATGTAAATGAGCAAGGTTATTGAGCGTTAAGCTTTAATGCTTTCAGCGATTAGCAGAATTAAATTTGATCTACTTAATTTTCTTTTCTTTTAAATTACTAATTAAATTATTTAAATTTATAAATATCCAGATTATATTTTATCATTAAAAGTATGAAAACCTTATATATTATTAATTAAGAATGATCTACTTTTCCTCGGATGTAAAATTCAGACATCAATATTGTTCAATACCATCACTCAATATTGATAGTATTCTATAATTAAATCGTTAAAATAACATTTATATTAAAGAAGTAGTAAGAAATAAGTTTCTTGTTCTCGCGTAAAAAAATTACAGTAAAATGATATATAAATTTAAGTACTTCTTAATTTACGTTTTAAAAGACGATACATGCCGCGATATAACTAGTGTTCCCAATATAGAGATTCATTGGGAACGAGTTTCAGAGGAGGAAATGTGAAATATAAGCAACGAGAGAGAGAGAGAGAGAGAAAGAGAGAGGGGGGGCCTGATCATGGTCGTTAAGATCGCCAGTGACAAATCTGTCGATTTGCTTAAGTTAACACAGGCTCGAGACGTCTCGTAACACTCGGTAGATTAAGTAATAAGGTCGTCATCTCGTCATCGCAATGCGTCATCGCTAAGCGAACGACACCTTCGAGATAAGCCGTAGACTTTTCAGCGGATGTAGAGTTAATTTAAAACGACATCATTGGCCTCTTATCTGGCCGAAAAGCATATACGTATAATATTACTTCGAATGGATCATACTTTTTTTTAACTTTACTTTATCTCGGTTATACATAATCATACACGATGACATTTACAAAACTTATTATATCTATATATGAATTTATTGTCGCCATTAATAAGTTTATACAAAATTGTATAAATCACTTATTAATAACGATACGTAAATTGTAATACAATTACATTAATAATTTTGACGTAATTTACATTGTAATTGAATAACAAAGTAAACAAAGTAATATTTGATAACGTTTGTTACTTAAATGTGAGTGATCTATTTTACAAATTTCTATTTTCTATATAGAATTTGTATGCTTATATGAATGAGATACTATTGAATACAATAGATAATTGACTGAGTATTGATATTATTCTATTTAAAACATGACCGAACACCCGTGGTGCTTTCGACAAGACGCATTAACACCTCGTTCGAATGCGAACGCGCGATCGCATAGATCGAGTGCATAGAGCGCGAAGGCTCGAAGTCGTCGTAGGGTTAGAAAGACGAGGGCACGAGGATGATGCCTCGATGAGGAGTGAAGAGAGGGCAAGAGGGGGCTTTAGGAGGCGTGCCCTTCGTCCGAAGGCCCCGGGCACGTGCCCTCACCGGCCAGATGTATGTTTTGCAACCTGATAATGGACCTTCTCGTACCAGTTCTGGCTCCCCTGCGGCTCTTTTAGATCTCGTCGAGGCGATTGTAAGCCGAGCTTTTTCGCTCGAGCCGCTCCCACCCCATTATGTCGAATGTCCCCATATGGCCACTTAGTAAAACTAAAAGAAGTACATGGCGCAAAGAGAAAAAGAGAGAGAGAGAGAGAGAGAGAGAGAGAGAGAAAGGAAAAAAGAGAGGAAAGGGGTAGAGAGAGAGTAGCTTGTGCGTTATTTTCACGAGCCTGTAACACGCACGCTTCGACGCCCAGAGACACGTTTCATTGCAACATTGCAACACGAAACGATCGTAACGTCGCAATGGGGTGACGAGGATTGGCGGTTAATACGAGATGTTCCCTCTGATGTGTCTGCGACTAACACCGGTATCTAGTTGCAGATAGATTCGTATCTTCCGTACACTAACACCCTTATTTCCAATTCACCCTCCGATTGTATTCACTCGTTATACGTATTTGTCGTACGCCAACGTACTAAAAATGATTAACTATTCTGTATGAGAATACTTTGAGGTTACCTTTACGAACAATAATATTACAAACTTCCTGACCTCGTTACTTCTTAACCCTCTGAAGCTAACCCGGTCCAGTCTATTGGGCTCACTCAATTATTATATAAATCTCTTTATCAAAAATGTCAATTCAATTTTGAAATTAATTAATGTCTTTTATAATAATTAACATAAATTATAAATGGGTCTGTAAGATATCAGTGTCAAAAAGTTTGGCGTCAAAAAAGTCCGAAGAGTTAAGTATCATCTTGATATTATTGAGGGATATTATTGAGTATAATAATAGAATTTATGAAGTCTACGCTTATCTCAAGTATCTCGCGAGATTTCTACGGAAACGTTCGTAAAAAAGCTAATGTACTAATATATTCGGTGCGTAATGCGCATCTTTTTTCATACGCATCAGAAATATTATTCAAATAGTTATACAATCTCATGCGTTATTACTTTACTTTGCGGCCATTAGGGGATAAAGACGAGGCGCGGGAACTATTAGAAATTCTGTAAATTGAACAGACGCGTCACGGTAACGTGCGGCATTTATATGACACCTGTAAACGAAAAAGTGAGAGCGCCATGTGGCATCCATAACGCTTGACGTGTTAATCAAGTCCCGAGAAAGCCACTCACGGATAATAACGCCGGTGGGGACGAGAATCCGTTTTTACATTCGCTTCGCACTTCTATGATACATTGTTCTGTCAGGAGCGGGTAGAAAATGATTACGTATAAATCGTGAGATACAAAAGCGCGTCACGCGGTTTAAAGATCGATCGTAATGTTATTCCTGTCGAGATTAAATAACCATTGTGAGAGGCATTAATTTGATGCACGCGAAAAACCTGTCATGATTACGTTCACCAATCCATTGCGCAAATTAGATAAAGTTTAATAGGAGCTATAAAACATTTATATGAGAATATAAAGTTCATTCTTATCAATATAGATTTTTTGGTTTAATGTATACACTTTATCTTCCTTTTTTTCAATTCTTAAAACTAGAAAAGGATGAAAAATAAAGTTAAACTAAAATCGCAGTTAATCCACATTGATAAAAATGAACAGTTAGTTTTAAAAAATAACAAAACTTAACTATTCTGTAACAGATTACCGCGATAAATTTCGGTTGATACCTTGTCTTTTTCCGTTTTCCGTGACAATCTGCAGGATTGCTCGCAACTTCCACAAGACGGGGCCCTCGACCTTTCACCTTTCGTCTTCATCGCCCCGTATGAGCGCGGACCAGTTTTCTCCGCTCTTCTCACTGCCGCTCTCTCGCTTCTTATATATATATATATCTTCTTTGTCCTCGTATGGATCCTCTCGAGATTTGATCTTCACTGCGCTGGCATAAGGGAAACGCAGATCGCAATCAACTACCGGTAATGCGCTCGCGTACTTGTCGCATTCGAGGAGATCAAAAAGAGGGCCCGGAAAGAACTCGTAGTCGAACACCGGCTTAAACGGTCGTTTCCGGATTATCACCATGCTCGAACTGTCTACAGTCATGTCGGAAATATAAGCTGTAAGAGTAGAATGGCGACATACAGATTTCCAAGCGGGATAACACGAATCTATTGGTCTTACTGGTTAATATCACCGGGTGTTGCGTGACATTTCGTTGAAAATATACACATTATCGAGATAAGAAACGGAAAGTCGTGTAAAGATTCACGTGTTATATTTAGTCAAAAAAAAATTCGTATACGTTTTGAGCCGTTAATTGAGAAATATAAGTACTAATTGTAAGTTAGAGAATATAAGACATACTCTGTGTGGACGTTAATTTACTCGGCGCGAATAATTATTAAGTACGGAACAAGTTGTCAATCCACGCTGGAATTTTTAATACAACACGCATGCAAGTAAGACTTAATGTATTCATGTGTCAGTGTGGAAACGCACGATTAACGATTTGATAAAAAAAAAAAAAACACGATGTCGATTAACATGTATACGATCTGAAACTTTTGTCGACATCAGGTAACACGAGAATTGAATATATACGACATTTGAATTTAAATAATATGTAATCTCACACACACATTGCGTATGTAAAACGGTGAAGGGGGAATTAATATCGTGCCGCGGGAATCTGTGCGCGAGAAGATTTTCGGTGACTCGACTCGCGATACTTTTGGTTGCGTTTGTACTCGATATTATAGCTGGTAGTGAGTGCGTTCACGGCCTGTAATCATTTCGCCGCCAAGAGCCACCTACCGCATTGGTACCCTTGCCTTCCACCGTTCTCCATCTCGTTTCATCCAGCTCCTCTTCTGCTCCTTTCTCTCGCGGTTTTCTCTCGTACCTCCGCATCTTCCTTCTCTTCGGCACACACCATGGCTCGCAAAAGCAAGCCTCGCAGCCTAATTGCTCGGTAAACTGCGAAGACTCTGCCGTATCGGGCGCACTGTTTCTTCCTCTCCCGCAGATTATTTTTGACTATAACAACCGAAGTCGTTCGATTCCGATCGCGAGAAGAAAGAATTACCATGTCGTCGGTGACAGATAGACTTCACATGTACAATAGTTTTAATTTAATTAAAAACTTAGAGAATGAAAAATTAAAAAGTAGTAATTTAAAAAATACATACAGAAATAACTACTTTGCTAAAATATTTGAAAATTTAGCTAGGTAAATTTAAAAATAATTTTGTCAAATCTGTTTAAATTTTTAGATGCTTTAGTAAAATCGTTCTTTCCGTGTGAATATCTAATAACATCTTTTTGTTGTGTAATCAGCGAAATACCGAATATAAGAATGGTTTCAATTTTGATCAACACATAATATGCAAATAATCATCTTTCTTCCCGGCTATGCTCTATCAATGAGGCAACCAATCAGCGAAAGAAGTTCGCGATTAGTTACGGACCTGTACCCTATCCCACGAAATGACGTTGCAGCTCTGCGCGGTTTGCATTTCGCCTTCATGATTCTATTATAGCGCGAGTTTCAACAGAAGGCAAATTGTAAAGCGCGAGAAAAGGAGGAGCTTCAAAGAACTTTTATTACGATACAGAGCGGAAATCCGTAACAAATCTCAAACTCTTTTTACCAATTAATTATGTTATTCCTAATAAGAGTTAAACGTTACACACAACATTAAATTGGAGCCATTTTTTGCAACGATTAATTAATAAATTCGCGCAATCTTAATCGTCCAAATACTCTCTTGCAAAGACGTTCGTAATCTTATCTTCATCGTAAATTCAGACTGTATGAGCTCGCGACACGTTCCGAATATCTTCGCCATAAGTTGTAATATCGACGTAATCCATTTACAGGATAAATTCAATCAATATCTGTCCGCTGCGTGCAGGACGCGTCTTATATGGCGACATCAGGCGCTTTTTGCCACGACCATAAATTGCGGCCTATGATGGGCTACATGTGTCGACGGCACGCCACGGTTTCTTGCGAAAACGTGAGCCGCGACCCAATGGGCCTCGTGTGATTTTTACATCTTGTTTGCTTCCACGGGGCCCTCTGCAAGCCCACACTCGTTCCCGCGGGTCTATATGGCGCTCCGTGTTATTCCGCGGTCTTTGAGTTCCTCAGGGCTGTTCTGCCTGTTCTTCGCTACCCTTCGCCTTTCTTATTTTCGAGCCTGGCCGAGTTGTCGCCACGATCATTCGTAAGGTCGTCGGAGATACTTTGTCACCGTATATCAAGGAACATCGTTCACGAATATATTTAAGATCAAATTTAAAAAAATATATTTTTAGACGTGTACAAATTTTGTAATATTTTAAATATATAACGTATAAAGATGTTAAATTATTGAGACTTTTAAATATCACTCTTATTTATTCTTGAATGAACTATTTAAGTTTCTGTTTTGTTCATTAAGAGTAAAAGCCGTTTTTAAAAGCAAACAATCTTTTAAATCTACATTTTTCTTTACATTGACATCTTAAGTTACTGAAATGGCAATCTCTGTCTCAGCGCAAGTAATAAATCCATCTTTCTGTTCTTTATAACGTTCGTAATGAATCATTGTAAGCGATTTTACATCCAGCTTATCACTTGACATCGCGGACCATCATCTTATGTCTAATGGCTGTATTACGACACATCTACATAAATCATCACGTCGCCGATATCGTCGTCGGGGACCACCATCGCCAGTACGTCGTTTTAGATTCCACGTGTAGGTGGTTACACCATAATTCGTTCTGTCTCCTGACCGGTACTCGGGCCGCGACAGTAGCAATAATTCCTAACGATTTTATCTCTGTGGAATTTTAGCCGAGACGCAAATGTCCCTCGTAAAGATGCGCGACGATGCCGCTTAGGACAATCTCGAAAACGATGTGGTCGCGGAGATCGCGAGTTTTTGCTCTATATGCTTCATCGAGGATTCACATCGAAAGGCCAGCCGTTCGTCCGACAAACTGTATATCAACGTTTTATGATAAAACTTACGCTCTAATATTTATATCAATTTTTTTCAAACCAGAATTACCAAGTAATTTGTAAATTTAATGATACAAATCTGGAATACTTTTTACATAAATACTGATACGAACTCTACAAATTCTTTAAAGTGAAATCTCATTTTAAGGAGTAAAATTTCAGTCAGGTTTGCAAAAGAATAGTTCAAATTTCAATCTTTAAAAAGTAAGAGTCACTCTAAATTTTTTTAGAGAGTAGATATACATGATAATTTCAAAACGACAATTTCTTGCAGAAATTTAATCGATGATTTTATCGCGTTATCATTTATATTCGTCGATTAAAAAAATTATTTTAAATAAAAATTTAATATATAATATTTATATATATATATATATATATATATAGATGAATTAATTTCTATTTTTATTAATAAGATATTAACAAAAAATGTATAATTGCAATTGAAAATATGGCGATGTATAATGGACATATATCTAGCTATAGAACAAAATTGTCCAATCTATTTTATTTTCTGCGAAGGTTTCGCAAGATTACGTAGAACGCCTTGAACTCAAAATATATTTCGAATGTGACCATCTTTCCTAAATCTGTCCCGTTTGCCGGATTGTAAGAGACAGATTCCAAACCAATACGCGAGTACGACCTAAGGAATTCGATGTGTGCGCGCGTGTTTACCCTGCGGGTACTCTGACTGCACCTCCAACTTGCTCATGCTATTTGAACGAGTCGATAAAACCGCCGTCGAACTATTTATCGTACGCGGAACAAGCGAGAACGATGTACTCACCTCGTTGAGGGCAAACAATACTATACCGGGAGATTATCGAGTCGCACTTTTTATCCTTCATCTGAACTTTCCTCGCACTGTATCTTTCACCGCGTCGCATTCTTTCTCTCACTTTTCACACATTCTTCCCTTGTTTCGGTCTTCTATAACCTCGCATGTGCCGATAACAGTATATTTCCGTGCCTTTAAGAAACAAGACCGCGACTTGCTTATCTATGAGTGACAGTCCGATTGTTTGAAAATCATAAAACCCGTAAAAACCAAGAAAAATCGAACGGATTGGTTTCCACGAATTACAAAATCCACGACGAGGCAATGAGTTTATCGAGGGCGTTCGTTACAAATGATTAACCTACGTTCTTAAGACATGAATCAACGAACACTATGTAATTATACTATGAATATGGTATTCTACCGATGGCTTCGATATCTCTCAAATAAAAAAGAAATAATAAATAATTTTTTTTTCTTCGTTTTTCGTCTTCTTTCTCTTTTCTTTGTTTTCTTTTCTAAAATAGATAAAGAAGTACATATAGAATACAAATGAATACTGTAAAGCATCAACAGAAAAGATTACATAAATAAGATAAAATGACAAAATTAATTTTCTTCCAGTAAGAAAAAATTGACGTCGTGCAATTTTTTTTTGTCTCGATAACAACCGGAACTTTTTGGAATTGAATAGTTTTGTGTTCAAGGAATGCTAAATAATTAGCAAATTCTATGTTACAACACGTAGCCATATGTCTTCCTGTCTCTATTCAAAAAATTGATCTCCTCAGCTGTCCTTGTTAAACGAATTTGTGACACTTTCATGCTCTCTCGTCTTTAGAATCGCGCGAGAACGTTTCGACTAGAAGGCAACGCGATTACTAACGGTGTAATCCATTCGGTCATGGTAGTCTGACATTATGATAAATAATATCTGGAACTGATCGAATTTAGGATGAGAGAGGAAATAGGGCAAGGATTCACCGTAACAACGAGCCGTGTAACGGCATAAATCTTTCTGCTTTTCTTCAACGCACCTGCCTTCCCACTTCCGCCAACGCCAACTCTTCTCTCACTAAAGAAAATCGTCGCTCATTCTTTCCCTTCTTTTCTTTCTTCTATGATTTTGTTCGACCATGTTTTATCTGTTCTCAATGCTCACTACTGTTAAGAAGGGAGCTCGAGATGTCACTGTCGTAATGTAAAAGACTCGTAACGAATCTAGAATTTCGAACCCAGGATGGTTCGTTGCGGACGATACCATCGTTGAATCGTTTAACGTCTTATTCTTGTTCAATTTTACGGATTCTATCATTTCGATACGCACGCGCATTTAATCGGCCGAGGAAAGTTTCCCATCGACTTGTAGTCGTCGATCACTCTGAAGAAGTAGCTTAGAATAGGCAGCCTAAATAGAAAATACTACAAACTCTCTAATCCCCTTGGTTTACCTCTCTATACAACATGTAACAATATAATTTGTGTCAGATATGACACAATTATTATTTTATAAAAAATATCACATATATAGAAATTTACCTATAAATAAATCAAAATTTAGGATATATTATTATATTGTATAACATATATATTATTATAAAGATGTACATAAGATAACGAGTTATACGTACTTCTCTCACTTTCTTTAAGTGCATTTATAAAAATAACAAAAATTAATTTAAATAATTAACTTGATAAAATTTACCTGAAGAATGTAGAACATCGTGTAATATTTTTTCACTAATGGGACACTCTCTTGGAATGGTGCGAGTTCGCAATTTATGAAATTGTTTCGTCCGCTCTTCTCTCGCACGATATCTTCACCGGCACAAAAGAAGCCGGCACGCACCTGCACCTTATGCAGATAAGGTTGAGGTGCTTCAGGTCAGCCCACTCAGGGTTAAGGTCACGTACCGTCTTTTACCTCTCGCTCTATCTTTCTCGCTCTCTTCCTCTGTCGTTCTTCTTGTCGGTCTTTCTTATGCACACTCCTGTTCTCCCTCGCTTCCACCTGCGAGAACTTCTCGCGCAGGTAGTCTCTCGTGGAGGATTGAGACGTTGCCTGACGTCACCACTCACCTCCTACGCGACCAAACACCATAAAAGTTTTGTCAGCACTCTCGGCTCTAGTAGAAAAATATTGATAACTATCAAGAAAAAAAATTAACATTTCATAAAAAATCACATTTCTAATAGAAAAATAATTACTGAGGATTTATGTTTCATCAGAAATATCCAAGACTGTTATACAATTGGACAAATAAAATTAAAAACTGAAAGATTTAACGATGCAATATTTACAATAAAAGCGATAATAAATGTAATAATAGCAGAATCTGCGTTTTCGCATTTTCCATGCGCTGAAGGAGGAATTTAGTTCCAACACGGCGCGCATCGTGAATTTTCCGTGATTTTCTTACAGGATGTCGAGAGACTGCTTTTATCTACGCCATCACGAGTGCGGCAGTAACTCACAGTATCGCTAGGGCATGTAGCGAGGGCAGCATTCAGTCGTGTTCCTGCGATTACACTCACCAGTCACGCGTATCATCTGCTGTTCGAGATTGGGAATGGGGTGGTTGCTCGGATAACATTGGATATGGCTTCAGGTTCTCTCGCGAATTCGTCGATACTGGGGAACGTGGCCGAAATCTCCGCGAGAAGATGAATCTACATAACAATGAGGCTGGCAGAGCAGTAAGCTTTTTTATTTTATTTGTGATTCAAATTCAAACGTAAAAACGAGATATTCATTTATATCCCGCTATTTTATGTGCTGGCATATTTGTGCCGGACAAAATAATTAACCCGCAATAAGTCATTCATCGCGAGAGTCGAGAAAGTTAAAATCATCATGAATATTATTAATTTTAATTGCAAAGAAAAATTATGCAGGACTTCGCCTCTCTCATTACAGCACGTGACTTCGGAGATGCGTCAGGAATGCAAGTGTCACGGTATGTCCGGCTCGTGCACGGTAAAGACCTGCTGGATGCGGCTGCCGAATTTCCGCGTGGTCGGCGATAACCTGAAGGATCGTTTCGACGGGGCTTCGCGGGTAATGGTCAGTAACTCAGACCGCGCACGCGCTACCAACAATGCCATCACCAGCAACTCGGCGAGTAATTCCGTGCACCAGCATCGTGACGGTCTCGGACGTCGGCAGCGTTACAATTTCCAACTAAAGCCATACAATCCGGAGCATAAGCCGCCTGGGCAGAAGGATCTGGTCTATGTAGAGCCATCGCCGCCATTCTGCGAGAAGAATCCCAAGCTCGGTATCCTGGGCACTCACGGGCGACAGTGCAACGACACGAGCATCGGCGTTGACGGCTGCGACCTCATGTGCTGCGGCAGGGGTCACAAGACTCAGGAGGTGACGGTAATCGAAAGGTGCTCCTGCACTTTCCACTGGTGCTGCGAAGTCAAGTGCCAGCTGTGCAGGACGAAAAAGACGATACACACATGTCTGTGAAAAGAAACTCGGTCGTAAGAGATATCTCGTAATCTTGATCATCTTCGAGGCAACTTTCGTGCAGGGTTAAACGATCAAAGTTCGAACTCTTCCTGTTTTCGCGGTTACCTTCTTGTGTAACGATACGTTGATGAATTCAAAGGATGAAACTACTTTTTTTTTTTTTTAACTTAAAGGACCCTGATAGTCTCTCGTAGACGACTGTCGGGACGGTTTGTTTCGAGAGATGCTGTCGTGGATCCTTGCCGGATGGGGTCGAAGTCGTCGTGGAGTCCCGTGTGAACCCGCGGGACCTCCTCGTCTCCAGTATTACGCGAAACGAACGAAACCACATATATTTATTACGTCGCGTCGCGCGCGTATTAAAGACTGAGATGGTGAAAAGCGTTCGTGCGATCGTAGATTTTTAAGGCTTTAAAGTAGGAAGATTATGGGATGCGGTAGAAGCGCGATACAAATGCCCAGCGTAAATGCTTGCGTAACGCCGGTTCACTATCTCGCTATTCACTGATGAGGATCAGATTGATCCATCACTGCCCCCATAATAAAGATTCTAACATCTCAGCTGTGACAATGTCATACGATAGAAAAAAATAATTTAAGGCTGCTGCTATTCACATGTCTCCTCATCTGACTATATTACTCATCGGAGATATTCGACGAAACTGTTATATCTCTGCTGATAATATATTTCAATTCTCAATTCATTACATCTCTTCATATATTAATCACATTGGATTAGTGCTTGCTTTTCCGCTGTTGATCACGATAAGTAAGCTGATGCACGAAGAAGCCTTCGATTATTTTATTCTACCGTGTATGAGGTCTTCGTTTTAAGTGATGTTTATTGGCTACAACGCGAGCATCGAGGTCTCGCGAAAGCATTATTTATTTTAATAGTGTTCTTCTTGCATTTTAGACACTCGCTCCCTCGGGAAAACGGGCAATCTCGTATATACAGATCGCAAACTTGTATATAAATAAATTATAGCGATATATTTTGCAGCAATGCAAGCCAATCGATGGCCAATATATTTCTCCGTAAGAAATTATTGTAAATACAAGCAGACTTACACACGTGCGACGAAGGTGAAGCCCCCATAGGGGGGAGTGGTAAATTATTTTTATAACTTTTTCATATTCCTCTCTTTTCTTCCTTCTTTCTTTATCGAGCACCAGGATATCGAGAATCCCACGGGTTTAGAATTATCTTTTGCCAATGCTTGATAGAGAGATTACTCTTCTCTCTCGTGAATGAGAAAATTCTAATAAATAAGATGATTCCAATGTTGTGCATAATAGATGTATTAATTATTGTCCGTAATTTATATAAATAAACATATAAGAAGAGAGAGAGAAGATTAAATAAACTATTACTTTTATATCCTATCTGTTTCTCTCCCAACAAATTATAAAAATTCTTTCGTTAGTTTTAAACGAGCTACAATTGCATCGTATAACGTAATCAGCGTTAATAATCTATTATGTAAATAACAATTTATTTTGTATTTAATATTTAATCGAAATATAAAATTAAAACACAAGTATATACTCTTTGCTTATATTATTTCAAAGTAAAATAATAAATTAATATAATTTTTAAATACAAATGATCAATAGCTTTCTGCGTCATGATATGCGTTCGGAAGAGAGAGATAAATTGGTTTTACAAGAAGTAAAGTTCTTATAAATGCGAGGTCTACATTCGAGGTCTACATTCGAATCCCTCGAACTTCGGCCTTACGGTCAATGCGCCGCGCCGTGTCGCAGGACTATTCAATATTTTCCCATTACACGATGCGCGCCGCCGTCGACGTACTCCCGCGAAATATAGCCAACTGGTTCCCCAACTGGACGACTTCATAATTCCTGCGCCGAGTAAATGTCGTGGGAGGCCCATGCCCCGAGGAGGACTCGTTCGGCTCTCCTCATCCTCCTCTTCTTTCCTTCTCTCTCTCTCTCTCTCTCTCGCACCCCCTTCTCCTCCTTTTTCTCATCGCGTTCTTTCTTCCTGCATCTCTGCCTTCCACCGTTTCAGCGTTCAGCGAATGCTGCACGCGATGATAACGAACGCAGGAATCCCGCAGGAATCTCCGTGCGGGATAAAAGGACCCTGACCGCATACGAACAGGCATCCGCGCTAATGGTACCAACACTCCATCGCCGACCTACAGGCTTTCTCTCCCTCTCACTCGCCCCTTTTCACCTTTTTTTCCACATGCTCCTTCTCCCGATCTACCTTCTGCTGCCGCTTCCTCCTTCTGTTGCGTGTCTCTCTTTCTCTACCATCGGACTACCAGTTCTTTTATCTGCCGTTCATGCCCACGAATAATAAGTATTTCTTTTTAGATTTGGAAGAAAAAGAGAGTGCGTTCTAAGAGCTTAAAAATTGATCTATTAATGTTGAATCGGGAATGCTAATGTTTTTTTATTACATTAATTATTGAAAGTTATAATATGGCAATAAACTAACAGTGGAGTGAAAAAAAATTTTTTATAATATAAAATTTTCTTTTATGTCACACATAACTGATACATCCAAAGTTTTTAGTAATAAACTTGTCAAACTTGTAAATTCAAGTTATGCAACACAGACTCAGCGTTTACGTCTATCTCATTGTATAATGGTCAATCAACTTCCGCCATCGAATTCTTAGACCGTCCATCACATTGAGATCCACACTCAGCGATGCAACTCAGAGGGATAGTACACCACGATAGTAAAATTCTTGTGAAAGAGCGAACAAGAGATAGAGGGAGGAAGGAGAGGAAGAGAGGGAAAAGGAGAGAGAGACAGAAAGAGAGAGAGAGAGAGAGAGAGAGAGAGAGATTGCCAGCGTCCCGGCAGACAAGAATCTCGGGCAGCCGGACCACTTCTCACGGCGGTCTCTTTGATCTTACCTGACCCACCCACCCCCTCGGTCCCCCACCTCGACCAACGGACACCAGCAGCCTCTCCAGCCCTTCCTTTCCCCGTCTTCGCGAGTTCGGGTTTTTACCCCGGGCCAGCTCGACGTTGAGCGGCAGCCACAACCCTCCCTCTTCGCCTCCTTCCTCTTGACCACCATCCTCGCATTCTCGAAAAGCACGAGCGCGTCCTGGAGGCGACTGAGGTGGATTCATTCAGTTTTACTATTATTACGCATACCGTCACGCGTGCGGTTCGTTTCAGCTCGGGGAATGTGATCCTGGATCCCGGCGATCCCGTCGAGGCGCTTGGTAGATGCGTCGGCTTAATGGAACGGATGTCTGGGAGGCGGAGAACCGCGAATAAATACGACATGTCGTTAAGAAGCCCCTCTGCAGCTCTTGCATCCTGGCGAACTCGGACAGTAGCGCGTGCCAATTTCATTTCGCAAGTCCTTCTTGCAATTTGCAAATTTCACCGATATTAATAAACACGCGGCAGAAGTCTGCTTAAATTAAAAGAAAAATTGACATTATCATTCTTTATACCCTAAAGATTTAGTCTTCATGAAAAACTTTTACCTTCCTTTAAAATTTATTATGACTTGAGTATTTTATTCCAACTGCAGTAGTTTGATCATATATGAAAAAAAAAAAACGATACTAAATTAAACAGAGAATTTATTAATTTCAATATAAATTAAATTATAAATAATTTTACTAAAAATATTTTATTCATCAAAGTAGTTGCTTTATCACTGGTAAGATCGAATTTCGTATTTAATTTATTGATATATCGTTTGCAAATAAAAACGATGGTGGCTCAAACTAATTGGAAATAAAGTGCACCGTCGTGTCATCGACACTTTTTACCAACGCTCCTTTCGCCGCTCTATCGTTATTTGAATCTTTCGCATGGTTCCTTCGCCGGCGAAGAGAAGAGCTATCCCTGTTCCCGGCGCCGCGATCTGATAGAGGCGACGAAAACATTTAGAGGTTATAAGAGCCCCCGGGACGATAAAATCGGGGCAGCCAGGCGGGCGGAACGACACGCGGCGTGTCGTGCACGAACACACGCGCGTGGCATCCTGATGGGCTCCTCTTCACTCCGCACGCGGAGGCACTCGATTGTCATTCCCGTACTGTGCATTTCGTATTCGTGAAACGTAAATCGGATGCAGGCGCTGATACGTATAGAGGATTCTTCACAATGGATCATTATTGCCCACGAGAACTGAAAAAAAAAACTGATGTATATTATATTTTTCTCTTTCTATTTTTTTTTTAAATTCCTATTATCTCTCTCTCTCTCTCTCTCTCTCTCTCTCTCTCTCTCTCTGCTGACGCTTAAAAACTTCCCCTATATGGAAATTAAATATTGGTCGATAGTAATGTATTCCGATAGGGTGTTTGATATCTGCAAAAAATGACTGAAATTAGAAATTTATACTTTTCGTACAAAAACGAATGTTACATATGAAAGAATTTAATAAGGTTAATATTTATATTTAACAATACAATTTCATAGTTTGAGTAAAACTGTTTTCTCACTTTAATTAATTTTTAAAGACATGTCTACTTCTTATTGAAATATAATAATTTTTCATCTAGATTGCTTCCAAACTTTTTTGTATTACTTTAAAAAAAAATACAGTATTTAAAAAAAATATATAATTTTTTCATAATTCTTCTATTAAACATATATATAATACACATTTAGAGATTTCTATAAATATAGTGTTAGATGTTTTTAAATAATTCTTAATTTATTTCAATTAAACATAGCGCAATAAGAAGTCAATACAATGTTTAGGAAAATCCTAAGGAAATATACAAAAAAGAAAAGAATTAACTTAATGAAACTTAAGACTTTGTTCATTGCCTTACACAGTTCATGCCTTACTCAGCCATCTTCAAATCATTTCCAATAAAAAAAAATGTGTATACACGTAAATCAACTAATTTATCGTTTTTGTGATCGCGCGAGCCGAAAGTAGGTAGTCCATGGTTGTGGTCCGTCGTCGTCGTAGTCCACGTCGTCGTCGCCGAGATATAGGAATGGCTGGAATCCCTTTTGGCGGGACCTGGAGCTC